GTCCACCAAACCACATTTTTGTCACCTGAAAGGTCACCATGAATACCTCCAAAAATTACTTTGCTCAATGAAAAGCAAAAAGCAGTTCAAAGAGAACTACACCTAAATTCTCAATCATTGTTTATAAATGTTTGTTAACATTTAAAGGGGGGTATGTTATAGAGATGGATAGTTTGCACTGGTATTAATCTTGATTTATTGATAGACAATTAAGGTTCATATTGTTATATGTGTATTTCTGCTATTGATTAAGGTATTGTGTTTGTATTTAAAAATGTGATGTATAATTAAGAAATATAGGTTAGTAGATAATTACAATAGTCAAGCTTCTAGTCATGTTAGTTAGGCTTTCTAGATATATAGAGCTAAATTTCAGTTAGATAGGTATTCTTCACATCTTTCAGAGACCTACAGAATAAGCTATTTAAAAAGTTTTAAGAACTTAGAACTTTTCACGACAGTGAGACACATCTGCTCCTAGCTGCACCAATTACTTCAAGAGGAAGATGGGGCATTGAAGAGGCTCCTTATGGAGGTTGCTAGCCATTTGGGCAAGAAACTGTGGTTGCCTGGACTGCTTGATGTTAGGTTGTATTAAGTGGACATGTAGGACCCACAGAAAAATGACTGCTGAACTTACCTAAAGGTGACACTGTCCTTTGAGGTTCCTGCTTCAGAAAGAGTCTGCCAGACACTCTGCAGGACACAGAAGAAAGCAACTGATGGACTTTGCCATTACAAGGCAGAACAGACCTTCGGATGTCCTGCTTCATGGAAAAGTCTCCTGGATGCTATGGGCCTGTAGGCTGAAGATGGATGCCCCACTGTTACAGAAGAACTTTGGGTGACTGTCCAGGCAGTGAGATGTCTCTGTCAATTCTAGGGTTTTGGAAGTTGCTTACAATGCACTTCCTGTTAATTTAGGTAATATTATATCCTTCTGGGGGGTCTTTAATGGAGTAGAAGAATAGTTATAATAATAGTTTTCCTCGTTATAATAAAGGATAAAGTAAATATAAATATTTTAACTGTAATTCTTGCTTGATGCCTGATTCCACCTGCTAGTTTCCAAGTTCAGGCATAAATGAGTAGACCTAGGTAACTAGATTACCTTAGCCAGAAATAATAGTATACCAGACTGAACCTGTCATTCAAATGGTAGCGTGACTTGCAACAATCATGGATGGAAGACCTGCCAGCAGGGCCCAGGACAAAACTCTCCAGAAAGCAGTGGGGCATAGCGGTAAAGCAGCTGGAGAGGGATTCTTCACACCATTGCCACTGCTTCCGGTTGTTGCTTCAGCACCATCACAGATTCAAGGCAGGGATGTCAAAAAGTGGACTGTAGACTTGGGGGGCAAAAGTCAGCATGTCATAGTCCCATGAGTTCAGAACAAAGACTGATGTTAATGATACCAAAAACTGGGGTGAAAGACCCTGCACATGCTTTGCCATTTGCTCTTTTGAGATAGGGTTTTGCATATACCCAGGATTGCCTAAATTTCAGAGTGACCTCCCTGCCACAGTATGTTCAGTAGAGTCCAATTGCAAGTCACACCAACATTCTGTTTATTTAAAGAGTAAATGTGCAGGCATGGTGGTGCAAGCCTTTAATTTTAGCACTCTGCAGCAGATGCAAACTAACCTGCATGATTTTTAGGCTACCTAGGTCTGCATAATGAGTTCCTGAAAAGCCAGAGATAAATAGTGAGACCCTTATAAAGAATATGTTACAAGATTATCATGATGTAAAAATATTTATTTTTAATGTGGATTACTTAAAGTCTACTAATGAGAAAATAAATTTTAGACTCATATATCAAGTGGACAGTACATATATATAATTTAGTCATCAAAATAATAAGAGGCTCTATAGTAAATATGTAGTGATTAAGTAAAAATACTTTGATCCTGTAGAGTTTAATTTACTAAAATCCTGTATTTACATTGATGGGCCTTTTATACAGAACAATTGTTTAAGAGATTGCAGATTTTTGGTGTATATTTTTAATCAAACTTTCTTTTGACAAAAATGGGAATCATAGCATGTCTTCCACAGCTGGCCTGGTATATGGGCATCTGTGAAACTGGCAGGTTTTTTTTGTTCTTTGTCAGTTTCATAGCAAACCCAACTAGTGCCCCAGAAATGAGTCCTCAACTTCCAGGAAGCTGGTCAGAGTTGAATCCTGACCCAGCAGGTGGATGGTCCCAGAAAAGGTTCTAAGTATCACACTTCTCTTTCTCTAAGGGATGGTGGCAGCTCCTCACTTCCACTCTGCAGGCTGCCATAGTGCTACCAAGGGCTTGGGGGCAGGGTTGGCTTTCCAGTCCAGACACTTTGACAGTGTTCTGAAGGAGTTCTATTTTGGTCAATTGTTGAAGTATCACATAGCTAGCTATTTTTCTGAATGTTTTTAGTTTTGGTGAATTTTTGTTTTCCTTCTTTTGAAAACTTTTGAATTTGGTCCATTTAGATATGTGTGGGCACATATGCAGCAGCACATGTGTGAAGGTCAGAGGACAAGTTGGAGATGTATGTTCTCTCTTGGTTATTGACCTCAGGTCCTCAAACTTGGTTGGAAGAGCCTTTGCTCACTGAGTCAACGAGCTGCCACAGTACTCCCTTCTAACCCACCCATTTCAGTATATTGGTTGTAGTTGCTCTGTTTTCATTTTGGGGGTAGAGAATACTGTGTACTCATTCTAGAGGTCTTCCATACTTGGTAAGCATCTGTCCACTGAGATTTAAAAATAAAGTTATTTTGAGGAAACATCTGTCCACTGAGGTTTAAACAAAAAGTTATTTTGAGTCAGGGTCTGATTAAGATGTCAAAGTTTTTGGTCAACTCAGTCTGTAGCCATACCAGGTCTTCAACTTGTGCTGATCCTCAACCTTCCATGTTGTGGGATTCCAGGACTGTATCACTCCCAGATCTGTATTCATATGGGAAACTAACAATTTGAATCTGTCTACTTTTAAAAGAAATATAGCTAAATGTATATCAAGTATGGTTTTTAACGTCAACTTTTGCTATCACTGATACTTTCTTATTCCCTGCTATGTCCTTTTCATCTCCAGTCTGGACGAGTCTTCGAAGCCCTATCTTTCAATGCATTAATCCCTGCGGTTCCATTTTCATACATGCTTTTGTTTATTTAGATTGGATGTGGGCCTTCTGGGAGCCAGGCCAATCAACGCAAGGCTTTCTCAGATGCCCTGATGAAAGTTCCAAGGGAACAGTCTTTTTCCAAGGGCTGACTTGACTAGGTCTGCTCCAGTACCTGAGCGAGCATCTTGAAGGAGTCAAGGAAATCATGCACTTCAGCCTGAGAGGCTGTTGCTATCAATGTGATGCTCATTGTGAGCTCTGTCTGACATAGCCTCTATTCCTGCTGTAGGGTAATGCTTTTGTATACTGTAAAGATTTGTCACTCACATTGGTTTAATAAAATGCTGAGTGGCCAGTAGCCAGGCTGGAAGAATAGATGGGGCAACCAGACTAAAAGAAAGTTGTGCAGAGGAATGACAGAGATGCAGTCACCAGCCAGATGCAGAGCACGAAAGATAAGAATGCCTCACTGAGAAAAGGTTCCAAGCCACGTGGCTAAACATAAACAAGAATTATGGGTTAATTTAGTTGTCAAAGCTAGTTAATAATAAGCCTGACCTAATAGGTCAAATAGTTTATAAGTTATATAAGCCTCTGTGTGTTTCTTTGGGAAGGACTGTGGGACAGGGCAGGACAGAAACTTCTGTCTACATATTCCACTTGACAGTATGACATAACAAACCTTCTGCTGCGTGTCCCACTCTCCCCCTACACATGGTGCATCAGATTTGTACTTCTTAATAAACTCTCCTCAGCATGAGCTATCAGCTTATGCGTGATCTACTGATACCTCCCTGGTCACCTCCTCTTCAGTTCCCAATTGTGTGTGTGTGTGTGTGTGTGTGTGTGTGTGTGTGTGTGTGTGTGTGTGTGTGATAAACTGAACTGACTTAAAGTTTTGATGTTCTGCCTCGACCTTCCCATGATACACTATTGTCACCAAAAAGTCTGGGAAATGTTCATGTTTGGGTAACAATGTGCATCTGAGAGAAATGTAAGTAATCTTAGGTGAGCCTTATTGAAATTGCTGACGTCTAGTGAATGTCAATCAGGTCTAAATTGACCCGGATGTGCTGGGCATCATCTCAGCTGTCAGACAGGGGAATCATTCCACTATGAATTAAGTAATGCTAAAGGATTCTGTGAATGGAAACACAAAAAATAAAAAGGAAGGACATGACTGGTCCCAGGTTTAGCCCCCAGATTGAATAAAAACAAACAAACTAAACTAAAAAAAGAAAGGACTGCTCCTAGGTCTGGTAGAGGAGAAAGTTTGCTGTTGATAAAATGGAGGGTGTAGAGAGAGACAGGGACATCTGGAAGAGTCCGAGTGGACATGAGTCTGGCCATGTGAGAAGAAGAGGTCGAGGAGAGGGGAGACGTAGACCAAGAGGCCAGGAAGGTAAAGGGTAGATTGAAAGAAGAAAAGCAAAACAAAATAAAGCAAAACAAAAACCGGGTTATCAGAATGGTTGGGTTATATAGGGAAGGGTAGCTCAACCCCTGGCCTGGAGAAGTTCAGGGTAGGAGGCGGGACATGGCAGCCATACCCGGTAAGAGCTAGGAACAGAGGGAGGCAGGCCGAACCTGTCAGTTTAATAGACACTTCAGCCTTTTATCCTAGGTTTGAGACCTAACACCGCGGACCCAGGAGCAAGAATGAAAAATGCTTACTAAGTGTAGAAAAAGTGCAGGGATGATTTTGCAGTTCAAGCTCAAGTTCTGCTGCAATGTCAATATCTGCAGGTCCGGGACAGTATTGTGCCTGGGAACCACTGTGCTGTGTCCCTTCACAACACTCTGTCCCCAAGAGAGCTGATCCTGTCACTCAGGCCACATTAGCCAATGATGACCTCCAGGCGAACTGCCAGGCAGAATGAGGGCGGGCACTTCCGGTCCGTCATGCTGGAGACTCTCCGGCTCTGGGCTCAGGAAGACTCCGGTGTTCTTTGTGTTGCGCTGTGATCCACTGCCGGGAGCTGTAAGGAGAGCGGGACGAGCTCGGAATCCACCATGGTGAGCGAGGGCCGCCGTCCCCACGCAGGGAGGAGCCGCGGGAGCCGGTGTGGGGTCCCGGGACTGTGGGAACCGTGGGCGGACGCGGCGCCGGGTGAGATCCGTGAGATCCATGAAATCCGTGAGATCTATTCTTCCGCTGCAGTTCCCACGTCCTGCGGCCACTAAATAACTTTCACCTGCGGATTGAAGTTGGGGCTGCAAAGAACACGGGGATGTGGGTACTGTGCTTGGACAGTTCCTTATTGTGACGTCACTATGCAGCGTGCGCGTCTGCGCCACTTTCATCATCGCCTTGAAAGGCAGATTTGCTAAGCGACAGAGCTACATTCTCTAGTGTCTTCTAGAAGTTCTGTCCTTGGCACTGAACATTGAGGTGTAGGATCCGACTGCAGTTAATTCTGTGCAGGGTATAAAGTCTGTGCCATTAACACATTTGCATGGAGATGCCAGAGAGGTCCAGTCGCGTGTGTCAGTAAGGCCAGACCTACTGGGTTTCCTGGCCTCATGTGTTCAAATCGACACTATTTTAATTGTTATTTTGTTTCTAAATTTTATTTTATGTTCTGTTGAGCTGTTTATTCTTTCCCAGACAGTACAATCTTTATTGCAGTTGTACAGGAAGTTTTAAAGTCAGACGGTGTCACTGTGTGCTGTTTACTCCGTCTTTGCCATCATTTTTCTGTTGCTGATAAGAAGATTGTTAAACTTTTGTTAAGATTGTTAAACTTTTGTTAGGCTTTATTGGAGTGTTGCTGAATCTATAGCTCAGATTCTGTGCTGAAATAATATTTAGGCTTTCTGTCTACAATCATGGAATTTCTCTCTGATGAAGTTTCTTGATTTCTTTAATTACATAGGTATAGTTTTGGTTATAGATATTTGTCACATTTCTGTGCATTTCTGACTTGTTTATCTATGATGACCTATAAGAAATATGAGAGTATATGTTTTTAATTTTTTATATTTATTTCATGTGTATGAGTGATTTGTTTGCCTATTTGTATGTTGACCACGTGTGAGTTTGGTGTCCACAGAAGACAGAAGGAGGCATCAGATCCCCTGCAACAGCATCTAGGGATGATTGTGTGCACCATGTTAGTGCTGGGAACCAAACCCAGGACGTCTACTGATGCGGGAGAATTGTCTGTATTCTGTCAATCATATTTTAATAAAACGCTGATTGGCCAGGCAGACAGTATAGGCGGAAAAACCAGACAGGAAGTAGAGGTGATACAATGAGAACAGGAGAATTCTGGGAAGCAAGGAGGTTCCTCTGCCACTCCTGCGCAGACCACTGAAGAGGCAGCATGTAACTTGCCCAGCTGAGAAAGGTACGGAGCCATGTGCTAACATAGATAATGATAATGGATTAATGTAAGTTACAAGGACTAATAAGGAGCCTAATCTGATGGGTCAATCAGTTTATAACCTTATGGAGTCCTGTGTGTAATTTCTCTTTGGGATTTGCCGGCTGTTGGGGTACCGGGCGGGACGGAAACCCCAACAAGCGGGCCCTCATGCTACAGTCTACAAGAGCAACAAGTGGTGGTAACTGCTGAGCCATTACTCCAGTTGTAAACTTGACAGATTTTTCAAAGCTTTATGTGTGCGTGTGCACAAGTACATGCTGAAAAGCCAGTGTCAAGAGAATTGAGGTTTGCTTAAAAATCTGTGTTTGGGGCTTGGTTAGATTTGGTCAGCTTGCCACAAGCTAGAGTCAGACTGGCCTGTAGGCAAACCTATAGGGTATATAGTGGTTGATATAATAGGGCCCATCCCACTGTGGTTGGTGCCACCCTGGGCAGGTCATCCTGAGTTCTTTAAGAAGTCAAACTAAGCAAACCTTTCTCAAGGTTCACAATGTATGTGGAATACATAAACCTATGGTATATATAAGTTGGTAAATCTGTTCCACACCTGTTCTTCTCAGAGTGTCAGCCAGATTGGGAGACTTGAAATTACTGAAGAGATTTTATCAATTAATTCTCTAAGTGTGTGGCGTGATTTCTCATTGTGATGGCACATTATGCACCTTCCAGCTTTTGGAAAATTATTTTGAGACAAGGTTTGTTGACTTTCTTTGCCTTGGTCCCAGGGTTGAGGCCCTCCAGATTCAACCTCTTCAATTCTTGATTAAAGGTGTAGCATCACACACTTCTAAAACTACCCACTGGAGTCACAGAGTGGGCTGTCCACTGCAGTAGTAGGAAAGGTATTTGTGTGGAACACAACTTCTCCATTGAGACCGGAATAGAAAGAATGGTTTATTGTATGCACTGCAGGGGAAAATAGGCTAGGCCATAGCTAGATTAGAGGTTGTTTAGTTCTTTGACCTGTAGGTATCTCTGTTTTAAAACAGGATCTGATTGAGCAGAGTGAGTACCTTTCTGTCTATTTTGCCAGTACACATTAACTCATAGCATGTGCATGAAGGAAAACCAAATCTGTGGGTGCACAATTTGGGGAGGTTACCTTGAGCCACTGAAATTTCCAGTCGGGCAACTCTATCATGTTGGTTCGTACAGACCTGGTTGTCTCAGGTGAGAAGATTGAGATACCGAGCTTATATATGTGTGTGTGTGTGTGTGTGTGTGTGTACACATATATATGCTCTAAGTCTCTCTCTATATATACATGTATATATAGAGAGAGACTTAGAGCATACATATGTATGTGTGTATATATAGAGAGACTTAGAGCATATATATGTGTATATACATGTGTATATACATATATGTGTGTGTATATGTATGTTTATATGTATGTATGTATATTCTTAGAAGCCCTCAGAATCAAATGTCTGTCTGTAGTCAAAAATTCAAAGACACAATAATATATATAATCCAGACTCTGTGTATTTTTCATTTTTATGTGACTTATTTTTTTACTCTATTACTTTTTAATATTTATTTTATCATCTTTACTCCTTTATGACTATTTGTATTCTTTTTTCTCTCTTTCTTAAGCCTCTGAACATTTATCCAACTCATTTATGTGACTCATTCAGTGGTCTTTTTCATCTGAATCTGTTTTATTGTGTACCTGTAATCATTTTTTAACCAGGAGCGCCTTTTTTTCCATGCTAAACAGGAGTTATTGGACCAACTCTATGGCCCTGCCTGTTGGCTACACCCCATCCGACATGGTGGAGGTATGTTCATCTCCTCTGCTGGCCATGCTCACTGCCCCAGCTCCAGGGACACAGCAGTCTGTGTCACCATTAAGAAACTAGTAGCATGCTGCTCACAAACCCCATTCAAGTGCAGGACTTTCCAAAAGAGCCAGAGCCATCCGTGCTGAACCAGGAAGCCATTTCTTAAGGAAGCCTTGCAGCTTTTACTGCTAATACTGAATCAGGAAGCCTTCTCTTAAAGGAGCCACGCCACTGCTTGCCACCAGTAAACAGAACCTTTGTGAAAAAGTGCAGATACCAAGAAACTGCACTTGGCTTCCATTTTTGTGGGCCTAGGAGCCCTCTTTTTTTCCTTAAGCATTTTTATTAGGTCTTATGTGGATCCATGCTCCAGACGGTGGGCGCCATTTTGTAGGCAGAGACTGCTTGTTTATTTCCCAGCCACACAGACCTGAATAACACGCAGAAACTATGTTAATTACAACATTGGCCAGTGTCTCAGGCATATTTCTAGTTAGCTCTTACATCTTAAATTAACTCTTTCTATTAATCTGTGTATCACTACAAAGCTGTGGCCTACCAGTAAGGTTCTGGTGTGTATTTCTCCTTCCACAGCTATATGGCATCTCCTTGACTCTGCCTACTCTCTCTCTCTATGTTTTCCAGCCTGACTCTGTTCTGCCCATAAACACATACAGAAGAACATTTCACATCGTTTTATCATATAAGTCTTTCACTTCTTCAGAGTTACTGAGAGATATTTTATACAATTTGAGGCAGTTATGAAAGGCATTATTTCCCTGCTTTGGTCCCTTTGCCATTTGTTTATAGGATAGTTACTGATTATGCAAGTTAATTGTTCAAAGTGGTTTTCAGCCATAGGAGTTCTGTGGAATTTTTAGGGTCTCCTACATATCCTATCACATCATCTGCAAATAATGGTACTTTGACTTCTTCCTTTCCAATTTTATCCCCTTGATCTCCTTCAGTTGTCTAGCTAAGGCTTCTACCTCTCTGGTGAGCAGACATGATGAGAGCAGAAGGTCATTTTCACATATGTTTTCGATTTTGTAGATTGAAGTTGGTACTTTTGGAAACCTGTTCATGGTTTTGTCAAATCGTCAGATAAAAGCACCAATAGAGCACTACTTTTGTTTCCTGCCCAAGGGCATACTTGGGAAGTTCTGGTCTAGTGCTTGAGTGAGGGTCATGAAGGAGGCAAGGGAACCTGGCTCTTCATGGCCACTGTGAGCTTAGTCTGATGTATTCTGTGTTGTTTTTCCAACATTGCTAAATTGTCTTAATGGGATTTTCTCATTCTCCACCTACAAATAGTATATCAGAGCTATATATCTTAAGGAACTTAAGTATGAGCCATTAGCATATACAAGACATGTTGATCCTAAAATTTTTATGTTTAACACCTCATCCTGGTCACCTTCCCTTTTCTGATCCTAATTTGTTGTTCTTTGGTGTCATAGACCAAGGTGCTTTGTGGAATGACGCTAAAAGAAATCCCACACTAGCTCAGAATTGAGAAATAGATGGTTATTTACTTAGGGGTAAACTCACAAATCATAATCCTCTGCTTGAATAGAGAACAGAAACCGAATCCAGCAACCAGAAAGAGCAGCGGGAAGAGAGGATGGACACAAGCTCTACACCAGCATATATAGTATTAAGAGGCCACGCCCCAGTAGGCAGGAAACCACAAGCTGTAAGACTTCCTCCAGCAGTGGTTTAACCTTGTAATGCCCCTGTCTTAAGCTTCCAAATGCTAGCATCATAAGCGAGTGCCACCACAGAAGGCTGGGAAAGTGATACAATGTTGATCACCAGTGTGCAGCTGAGAGAGGTGTAAGAAAATACAGATTTGCCTTCTTTTCATTCTACCTCATTTTTCCCCATGTAACTCTTGTTGTCTCAGAGTTAAGTGAATAGATACATTGGGAACAACATAGAGAGCAGAGATGCGAGGTATCGTTAATACTTCTTATTGTAGTGTCATAGATTAGAACCATGTAGGTTCTGCTTGCACCAAATAGAAAAGAATAGAATTAAGATGGTTCTGTAATAATAATACCATCACCACACCTAGTAATGGTTGTGAGCTCTTAGTGTAGCACGGCGCTGGGAAGTTGCCTCCATCTCATCTAGAGGGAAGAGCTGCTCAAGAGCATCTATGGAAACTAATATCAACATTGGATAACATTTAGGTTTGGGAGGGGAATATAGGAAAAATACTTCTAATAATGAGACTATGTCCTCTTGTATAAAAATGTAGATCATACTATAATGTCATGTGTTCATCTTCCTTGCTTATAATTAGGAAAACCACTTTGAATCAGTCTAAAGGATATATGTCTTGTTCTATTTTTCTTTATATACATATTTAAATGCTAGTACTCCTATTATTTTGAGCTTCCAGAGCATTTATGTACTTTGAGCTCAGATTGGTGTTTGGATTCATGTACAGATGGAATGAATATCCACAAGAATAGCTACACAACATCTACAAGTGAATCTACAAGTCCATTCAACAATTGTGGTTATCATTGACTACATAGGGAGTTTGAGGCCAGCTTAATATAAATGACTCTTGTCTCACAAGTAAATAAATACATCAGTAAATGGGTTGAAGTACTAGGTGGTACAGATGACGTGAAAGCACAGGCTCCGTGCCCTTTTGTGCTCTCACATATGAGTGTGAAGTTTCAAAATTAAAATTGAAATATTTCATCATACAATATTTTGTCATGCTCCATAGGTTTGGGTTACTAGAATTCTAAATATATCTAAAGTGTATTTTACAAGAAATATACTACTCATGAGAATATAAACACATACACCTAGACAGTGGTCTCTAATAGGAGTGTTCCACCCAACACTGCCACCAAAATAGCTATATGTTCGTGATGAGCTAGACTTCTGTTTTCTTGAGTATTTCTTTCAGGAATTGGGTTTGTGGAATGAGACAGATGATCAACAAGTTGAATTGTAAGGTAGGAGTAGGGACTCTGGAGCACACAGGCTTAAGTGGAAGTGTGAGGTGGGGGGATATGGAACACACAAGCTGAATTGTGGGGTAGGACTGAGGAGTTTGAAGCACAGTGTGAATTGAAAGGTAGGGATGGGTGTAGAATGGCGCTTATCTTTGTTCTGAGCACTGGGGATCCTTCCTTAGGATCACTGACAAGTCCAAGAGGATGAGTGATTTCCTTTATCAGTACCTAGATTCATTTTATTTTTTAAATGGTATTTGTTTACTAGCTTGTATGGAAAGTAGCATGTCCATGTCAGTGTCCATGCGTGGATCCCACAGAGCAGCTTGTGGGAGTGCCTCTCTCCACCTTGTAGGCCCTAGGAATCAAACAAAATCAGAATTCCCAAGCCATCAGGAAGCTAGGTAGGAATTTCAAGTGTGAGGATACCAAACCCGTCATCATTTAGTCACTTTTACACACATTTTCAGTTCACTGACTTTACTGGGTACCCCCTTTAGTGCCCTCAACTCATCTTATCTGTCACCTGTACAATTTCAGACAGTGTTCAATACCAGTGGATTATTTTTCTCATGTCAATAGTCCTGTCTTAATCAATTTACCCAGAGTCTGGCTTTGCTTTTGACACTGTTCAAGACCCAGGCGATTCTATACAGCTATTCTTTTCCAAACTCAGCTATAATTCTTGCATCTTCCAGATTTCAACCTTGAAATGGCCTTTCATGACTATAATATAGTAAGACAGTGGGTACCGGCATCTTGTCACTACCCTCACAGTTCAGGTTTTACTGGCAGTGACTTTTTGATAAAAATACCAGAATGTTGATTCATTGTGTAAATTCTTGTCTTGCAGCCCCATCCTTCTTAAGAACATCCCTTAATCTCAGCACTCTGGAGGTAGACACAGGCAGATTTCTCTGAATTCTGGGTCTCCCTGTTTTAATGGTGAGTTTCAGGCCAACGAGAATACACAGTGTGGTACTGTCTGAACAACACAACCCAACAACAAACATAAAGGGTACACTACATTGGATAGGCTGTGCCAACGAGGTGGCTCAGTGAGCAGTGGTGTTTGTTGGCATATGAAGTACATGGTCACCTGTATTCAGGTCCCCAAAGCCACCTAATCACTATAAGGAGAGACTAAGCAATGTTTCTTTTGGCCCCTAAAAGCCGCATGGTATGCACAAGCCCCCACCATACATTACAAAAAAAAAAAAGAAAAGATTTTTTTTTTTTTTTTTTTTTTTTAAGAAACTGAAACAGGCTGGCCAAGGATTCCTTTTAGACCAGGCAGGTGTTGTAATGAGTTGGGATGTGTGTCCTTTCACCATGAATCCTGAAGATACTGAAGATCTTAAATTTCATTTATGTGTATGGGTATTTTTCCTACATGTACATGTGTGCCCCACATTTGTGCGGTGTCCTGAAGAAGCTCGAAGATAGTGTCACGTTCTGTGGAATGGCAGTTCAGTTTTGAGATGCCCTGTGGATCTGAAGAATTGAAATTTGGTCCCCTGCAAAGAGAGCCTGTGCTCTGCACAGGTTGAGCCCTCTATCCAGCCCTTTATTCAGGAACCTAAAAATGTATTTTTATTCCTGGGAGCAATGTAGGAATCAAAATTATTTCAAAACATTTTGTTGCAGGCTGGTTGGAAAACTTAATTCTCCCTGGGCCAAGCGCCCATACATGTAACAAAGCTTACGGAAACACGTTCTTCTGCCACTCCCTACTTTCTGTTCCCGGATGTCAAAGGCACCATCTAACAGCACCGCAGGGCTGGGGAGAAGAGCAAGGTTTCCCTTCACCTCCCAGGCAAGAGGTGTCCCTTGTATGGAAGTCTAGTAGAATCGTTGTGTCTAAGATGTCTTAGAGTGGAATAGCTGTTTTTCACTGTATATAGGATAAACTTCAGAAAGAATAGTTCTTTCCTAGAATTACTTTGATCTAGAAGAAATCAGGGTAGGAAGCAGGGATTGTTTCCTGTGTTTATTTATAGAGTTGGTTTTGTTTGTTTGTTTGTTTGTTTGAAGCAGTATTAGAGCTATTGCATGGCTTTAGTCAGGAAATCGTCCTGGCACACCTGGAGCTCCTGTACTATTGGGTGCTGCAAACAGCATACGAAGAGGACTAACGGGGCAGGGATGGGATGCTTTTCTTCAGCAAAATGTAAACTAGGTCAGGGGCTTTGGCATGAGGAACTATGCAATTTTTTTTTAACTCTTTACTCTTTGATCTTTTTTCTCTTTGTTCTTTTTTTTTTCCATCCAGCTCCCAAATAAATCCACACAGAGACTTATTATTACTTCTGAATGCCCAGCCTTAGCTTGCCTTATTTCTAGTCAGCTTTTCTTAAATTATTCCATCTACCTTTTGCCTCTGGGTCTTTAATCTTTATCCTGTATACCTTACTTTACTTCTTACGCCGTGGCTGGCTGTGTAGCTAGAGGGTGGTTGCTGATGTCCTTCTCTCCTTTTCTTGTTCCTTGATCTTTTCTCTCGCTTTTTCTCCTATTTATTCTCTCTGCCTGCCAACCCTGCCTACCCTTTCTCCTACCTTGCTATTGGCCATTCACTTCTTTATTAGACCAATCTGGTATTTGAGATAGGCCAAGTTCCCCAGCTTCACAGAGTTAAACAAATGCAAAATAAGGGAATACAACACATATTAAAATATTCTACAATAGAACTTCTTTACCCAGATATCAGCTTTCTGTAACAATCAATGTGGCTTTGGAGAGGTACTCAAGGTTCAGTCCATCAGAGGCTGGACCTTCTTGCTGCCGCAGGCCTAAAATTGGAGGGACTCTCTTATCTGATCATCTCACGCAATACAGAACACCTGACAGTTCCCGAGTGACCTACTGCACGGCACTCAGGAAGTGGTGCCTTGTCCTCTGTTTTAAAAGTCCAGAATATGAAGGACAGAATATTGTAAGACATTGCAGCAGGATGATGATGCCACCCAGGACTGCAGAATAGAGTCTGTCAGATGGAACGTGTGAAGGCAAACCTTCTAACACATGGACCATACCTATATAACACCAAATAAGAGTTTGACCATGACAACCATGACATGAGTTGTCGTGACATCCATGACAGCCAGGGATGGCTGTCATCTGCCTGGCACCTTGTAGAGAACTCAGAAGCATATATAAGTGTCTAGGTGTCTAGGCATAGGTCAGCAGGGTAGAGACTTAGACATGACATCCAGCACTTTAGCCCCTGCAGGAGTCACTCTCTGGGTGGGTGCTGAACAGCCCAGTCTTGAGATCCCAGATTCTCAGATGTGAGAAGGGTCCAGAGTCAAGTCCTCCTGTCACAAAAGTGCTCAGTAATGAGTGGGTGACAGGAGAGTCGACACGGTCTGGGTGCTGTGTAAGCGTGGCCTGAGCAGACCTGTGCGCGTCCTGCTAGCGGGCTGATCTCACAGATGCTTTATTCATGCATCTTGCTCATTTCATTACATATTTCTTTGCTTTCTGTCCTTTGTTTCTCTTTTCTTTGCTAACTTGGAGTAGTAATCTGTTGAATCTGTTGGACAGTAGTAATCCGTTGAATTTGTTGTTGAAAACAAAGTGTCCAAGAGGTAAGAATTTCCATGGAAAACTATTTGTTCCTGTTTTACCCCAAGGAAGGGGTGCAGAGATACCCTGATAGCTTAGCAGGAAGTTAGCTGTGAATGCCGTGCTTCCTCTCGTCCTCCTGGCAGTGTGGTGAAGTTCCCTTTTGGTCAGTGGTTATATTACAACATAGCTGGCTAATGCATTGGAGTTTTTAGTTTTTGTGCTTTTTGGTTTTTCATATCATTTTTTCTGTTTTCTTTTTTTAAAATTCTGAGTTTGGGCCATTAAGACATGTGTGAACACCTATGTGACAGCACACGTGTGAAGGTCCGAGGACTGGTCCAAGGCGTGGGTTCTAATCACATGCCCTCGGACGTGTTTGCGTGTGCCTTCGCTCACTCAGCCAACCAGCTGGTTCCAGTCACAGCACTCCTTTCAGATCCACCTATATCAATGTATTGGCTGTAGTAGCTCTATTTTCATTTTGGGGGGTAGAAAATCCTGAGTACTTCTTACAGAGCCCCTCCCGTGCTCGTTCTTTCTGTCCTCTGAGGCTTAAACAAAGTTATTCTGATGGAGGGTCTGTTTAATTTCCCCAAGAATTTTGTCAACTTCGTGTTTAGCCATCCCAGGCCTTAATCTTGTGATGCTCCTGAGTCAGCCTTCCATGTGGTGGGGTTCCGGGACTGCACCACCACTCCTCTCAGCTCTAAATTCATGTGGGGAATGAGCAATTTGGGTTCCCCTTCTTAGAAAGTAGATAGCTAAAGGTGTACCAATTGAGGTTTTTTAAAATGAACTTTTGGTGTCAGTAATTTACTTCCTGTTGTGGGCATTTCGGCTCCAATCTCTCCTCGTCTTTTCCTCTATGCCCCTCCTTTCCATGTAGTAATCCTTTTGTTCACATTTTCATACCCATTTTTATATTGTGAGGTTGGAGATGAGCCTTTTGGAACCCAGGTTAATCCAAGGTTTTCTCAGAGGCCCTGATGGAAACACCAAGGGAAAACTCGTCCTTCATCTTTGACCAAGATCTGCTTAGGTGCTTGAGCTAGCCTCTTGAAGACGTCACAGAAACCAGCCTCTTCAACCCGAGAGACTATAGTTATCAGTCTCATGGCCACTGTGAGCTCATTCTGAGCTATCCTGTTTTCTTGCCAGTGTTACTAAATTATCTTTCTGTTTACTGTCCACAGGGGACCCAGCCACAGGACATGCATAGAATTGTAAACTCTGTATTTCTTTCTTTCTATTTTTTTTCTGGATTTTTTTTGAGACAGAATTTCTCTGTAGCTCTTGAGTCTGTGCTGGAACTAGCTTTTATAGACTAGGCTGGCCTTGAACTCACAGAGATCTGCCTGCCTCTGCCTTCCTAGTGTTGGGATTAAATGCATGCACTACCACCACCCAGCCCTGTATTTCTAAATCAAAAGATAAACCACAATATCTTTCCTTTCTCTCATACAGCCAGACATTTAAAATGAGCTTTAGTGAGCTAAGGGCAAATGAATATGGTTACTGGTCTGTAGTTAAATTAGATAATACCTTCCCTGTGTCTGTTTATTTTAGTTCCCAGGTTCAGGCCTAAGTGCTGTGGAGTTTAGAGCATGATCCTGTATTCATTTCAAATGCCAGACTCAGGAGGAGTTTGAAGACAATGGAGTGGAAGGACTTTGGGGCCCGATGAGACCTTGATTTTAATGGGTTCATTATCCAGAGACTCCATTTGGCGGCATCTGCAGCTTCTGCTTTCTTGACCTGCGTGTGGCGCGTTCATGGTAAAATGCCAGCTATTTTCACTGTCATAGGAGTGGAGAGAATCACCATGTAGGGTCCTTTCCAGGTTTTGGTGTCCTTGCCTACTCACTTGACCCAGATGGTATCATTGGACTGGAACATGGGGAAACTGGTGGTGGACTCGGAGGTCAGCTGGGTCTCATCAGTAGTCCAGTCAGTCATCATGGAGGACTGGAGTGCCTCTGGTGCCTTGAGAAAGCAAGGGTTAGACAGCTCTGAGCCTGGGAAACAGTGGGGAGGTTTCTAAAACATAATCTCATAGTGGGTAAATCTCATCCTGTAGTTCCAAAGTTATGTCAGTTAGTGAAACTGCTGATGCTCCAAGGTACCTGGTTTCATTTTACATTTTCTGACTGTCATGGATGAGTATCTGTGTCATCAGGTAAGAGAGTAGCCAGGTTGATGTTGGTGGGTTTCTCAAATTAGAGTCAGGTGGGCCAGTAGTAAGGGCCTGGTGCTGGGTCCTACACAGGCATTAGACAGTCCGTGTTTTGGTGCTCCTCAGAGGTGGACCTCAACCATGTCATGGTGTTCTGTCAATATAAGATCTTGACCAAGAGTTAAATTGTTTGTCTGCTTTCTTTAAACTAGCAGTACCTGCGATTGCTGTTAGGCAGGCAGGGCTAACCTATGCTACAGGGTTCAGTTATTTGGACAGATATGTTATAGGGCATTTCCATGGCCCAAAGCTTGAGTTAAAACCCCTTTTACCTTTTGTTTCATGGACAAACAGAAGAAAAGGTTTTGAGACATCTGGAAATTCTAGCTGATGCAGAAGTCAGATCTGTTTTTAAAGCTTCAAATGCCTTTTGTTTAGAAAGTCCAGATTAAGGACTCAGTGCTCACCTTTGTGCTGGTGTGTAGACACTTCACCATTCCCACAATCTCTGATATCCAGAGGCAACAATATCCAGTTGCACCTAGGGACTCTTGAGCCTGTTTCTTAGTATTGGTGTTGGGTTCTGAAGGATGGCAGCAACCCTGCTCTCAGGCAGTAATTTCAGTATTTTCCCTCTTTATCTTTTATCTGGATGGCCTGTCCATTGTTTAGAGTGGGGTATTGACATCTCCCATTATCAGTGTGTGAGGATCAGTACTTGATTTATACAGCAGTAGTGTTTCTTTTACAAGTGAGGGTGCCCTTTGTTTGGGGAGCAGCTGTTCGAAATTGAAATGTCATCATGCTATATTTCTCCTTTGATGACTATGCAGTGTCTGTCCCCATCTCTTTTCTACTAATTTTGGTTTGAAGAGTCTCACATGCATTTTATATGCTTATGGGTACATTGGGTGAACAATGAGGCCACATTTCCCCCTCTCAGGGCTACGGATCAAACCCAAATACTCCACACATGATATGCAAATAGTCTTCCACTGAGTAATATTTATTAGAGAATTTCCTTGACCTAATCATGGTGACTCAGTTGCAATCCCAGCACTTGAAAGTTAAAGCAGAAGGATCCCCACCAGCTTGAGGCCAGACCAGAGCCTCGACCAAGACCACGCTCCAAACCCACAAAACAATAATGTCATTATAGGATCAAGATCTCACCAGGGAGCATGGTGTGCAAATTCAACAGTGTGTTGTTGAGAAATAAAATGCAATTTTCCTAGGCCAATAGGAGACCAAGTGGTGATGTCTGTTACATGGTCAGACTTGCCATTGGCTAGAGTTAAGAGATTTTATAATGAGCATGTCACTTCCACTTTATTTTTGCCCCTCAAGAAGTTGCCATTCACCTCTGTATTAAAGTCTGATCTAATTAGTACATTGAATTGACAGCATGAGGGCACTCACCTGTCATGCTATTTTGGAGGCAGATACAGGAAGTTCAAGCCTTCTTCCAAGATAAATATGTCTTCTGCTGTTAATAACATTAAGAAACAGAAGCTACATTGTGCTTGAAGCGTTCCTGGGCCTGGGAAGATGGCGCAGTGTAAAGTGTGCACGTGAAATTTGCAGAAGATAGCGTTTATTTCCCACACCCAGCTTGCCATTTTTATTGACTGTGCATGAAATCCATACCTATTCCAGATTTGTGGCCTTTCGTAATCCTCTGTGTCCCATATGTTTTTCTCTTCTTTCTCCTGGGACGTTCCTTTGTGATTCTTTTTGTGTTTTGTTTTGTGTGTGTGTGTGTGTGTGTGTGTGTGTTCCAGTAAAGCTTTATCTTTTTTCATTTCATTTTACATTTCAACCACTGTTCTCTCTCTCACCCCTCCTCCTGCCCCCTATGCCTCCCCCCAGCCCACTCCCATCTACTCCTCCCAAAGGGTAAGGCCTCCCATGGGGTGTCAACAAAGCCTGTCACATTAACTTGAGGCAGGACCAAGCCAGTCCACCTGCATTAAAACTGAACACAGCATCCCACCATAAGAAATGAACTTCAAAACCTGGTCCCACTGTCAGGGGCCCCACAGATAGACAAAGTTACAAGTTACACAACTGTCTCCCATATGCAGACAGCCTATTTCAGTCCCATGTGGGCTCTACAACTGTCAGTCCCAATTTTCTGAGAAGTAATCATACTGATTTCCTAAGTGGCTGTACAAGTTTTCACTCCCACCAGCAGTGGAGGAGTGTTCCTCTTACACCACATCCTCTCCAAAAAATACTATCCTCAGTATTTTTTAATCTTAGCCATTCTGACAGGTACAAGATGGCAACTCAGAGTTGTTTTGATTTGCATTTCTCTGAAGATTAAGGATGTTGAGCAATTCCTTAAATATCTTCTGACCATTTAAGATTCTTCTGTTGAGAAATTATGTTTAGATCTGTACCCCATTTTTAATTGAATTGTTTGGTATTTTGATGTCTAGTTTCTTGAGTTTTTTATATATTTTGGAGAGCAACCCTCTGTCAGATGTTGGGTTGATGAAGATCTTTTCCTTTTCTGTATGTAGTTTCTTGTTTTGTCTTATTTACTATGTCCTTTGCCTTACAGACACTTTTCAGTTTAGTGATTGTTGCTCTCAGTGTCTGTGCTACTGGGGTTATACTTAGGAAGTGTTCTGTGCCAATATGTTCATGGCTACTTCCCACTTTCTCTTCTATCAGGTTCAGGGTAGTTGGATTTATGTTGAGGTCTTTGATGCACTTGGACTTGAGTTTTGTACATGGTGATAAATATGGATCTATCTGTAATCATCTACACGCCGACACCCAGTTATGCCAGCACCATTTGTTGAAGATACTTTCTCTTTTCCATTGTACGGTTTTGACTTCTTTGTCAGAAATCAGGTATTCATAGGTGTGTGTGGATTAATGTCAGGGTCTTCAATTCGCTTCCCTTGGTTCACATGTCTATTTTTATGCCAATACCAAGCTGTTTGTATTTTTGTAGCTCTATAGTACAATTTGAAGTCTGGTGATGCTTCTGGAAGTTCCTTTATTGTACAGGATTATTTTAGCTATTCTTGTTTTTTTGTTTGTTTGTTTGTTTTTCCATATGAAGTTGAATACTGTTCTTTCGATTTCTGTAAATTGTAGGGATTTTGATGGGGATTATATTGAATCTATAGATCGCTTTTGGAAAGATTGCCATTTTTATTATTTTGGTAAGGGTTACAGTTTTACTGGTTTTGTCATGGAATATCTTGTTTTCTCCATCTATGGTGATTGCAAGTTTTGTTGGGTATAATAGTCTGGAATGGCACTCATGGTCTCTATCTACCTAATGTCTGTGCAGGACCTTCTGGCTTTCAGAGTGTCCACTGAGAGTCAGGTACTATTCTAATGGCTTTACGTGTTACGTGGTCTTTTTCCTTTGCAGCTCTTAATATTCTTTCTTTATTCTGTATATTTAGTGTTTTTATTATTTTGTGTTGAGGGAACGTTTTATTTGGTCTAGTCAATTTGATGTTTTTTTTTTTTTTAAATTTCTTGTACCTTAATAGCCATTTTCTTCTTTGGGTTGGGAAAGTTTTCTTGTATGACTTTGTTGAATATTCTATGCCCTTGAGCTGGTATTCTCCTTCTTCTATCCCTATTATTCTTTGGTTTGGTCTTTTCGTGGTATCCCAGATTTTCTGGATGTTTTGTGTTATGACTTTGTCACTCAGTAACTTACTAAAAATACATTCATTCCTAGAAATTATTAGCTTTACAGTTTACTAGGAGTCAATTCAGTTTATGATTGAGAAGTACTGAATTGAAGTGATTGTTTTAACTATATGCAGGACTTTTGAGTGAATGTCTGAGTGTTTTCTATTTGCTGTCTATTTGAGACAAAGTCTCACTTTGTATCTCTGGCTGTCCTGGATATCTGTGCACAGACCAGGCTGGCTTGGAAATCAAAGAGTATCACTTGTTTTTGCCTCCTGAGCTTCAGGATTAAAGGTTGGCACCCCACGCCCATATTGTCTATCTGTTTTTGAAGTTAATAATTTTGATTAAATTTTGCTGATGTATACTAAATAGCACTAATCTATTTGCATGTCTCTCTGTATATCTTACTAGGCATTTTTCCAGCAATGCCCTATTCTATTTTAAGTCCACAGAAATAGAAGGCATGAGTCTCCTTTTCTATTTCCTTTTAAAATGTGTTGGGGACTGCGTTCAGTATTTTAAGACTCTATCATAGTATACATTGAACATGATAAATTATGTAAATATATTCTCAGTGAAATATACTTTTGTAATGCAGTCAGTCTCAACATTTCTATTATGTACATATGTGGGATACTTTAGGAGGCCGTGACCTATGAAGATGTGCATGTGAACTTCACTCACGAAGAGTGGGCTCTGCTGGATCCTTTCCAGAAGAATCTGTACAAAGATGTGATGCTGGAGACCTACTGGAACCTCATTTCTATAGGTAAGAATGTGAGATTTCTGTCACTTTTTAACTTAAGGGGAAAAGCCTTTCTTGAAGATTGGTGTTCTTCTGTTATATGAAAGAAGAAGAATCTAATGAATAAATCAGGCATTGTTCAAAGACTCACAAAAAAATAGCAATTTCAGTTGTGCCTAATTTCCAGTAATATATCACATACATTTTCTGGTACTCTATTTTAGGTTGCAAATGGGAAGACCACAGTATTGAAGAACATTGTCAAAGTTCTAGAAGACATGGAAGGTAATTTTCATGTGCAAGCTGATACATATGTACCTTTGAAGAAATGTTAATAATGTACCCTGAACTTTTTTTTTTAAAAAAAAGCAACAGTGTAAATTAGCACAGCTGTGTGATGGCTATTAAATTCTCACAACACCATGTATCCCAATGTCAGGAAGCTGATTACTGTGTGGAAAGTACTCTTTTATTAATAAGACAAGAAAGCAATGCTATAACAGATGTCACAATTTTTATCAGCCATACGAGAGGCATGTTGTAGAATTGTCATGCTGTTCAATCATCATTTAAGGTATACACATTGATAAGAGGATTAGAGTATGTCCAAGGGCTTTTATAAGCATATCTTTCATATTAAAGCTAGTGGTCCTCATACACTTATATTGAGTGACTTACCATAGTTTAGTGAGAGGAGCACTTTTTAGGAGAGACAAGGAATTTTTCTTGGTATAGAATCCTGAATCCATTTACCACGTCTGAGGCACAGAATGTTAGACTATATAAATATAAAGCGAAAAACCTTTTATTTGCTATTGTTCCTTTAATAGGAATGTCATCTGTCACTCTGGATACAAGCCATATGAGCATCAGGGATATGGAAAGAAGCAATATACCTCTTTTCCTCCTGGAACAGTTAGAAGATATGCTGCAGTCCCCACTGAGGGAAGACATGACGGCTGTGATACAAGTTTACACTCTCATATTGGAGAAAACCCTTATGATTACAAGGAATATGGAAATTCATGTGTCTGTCCTGGTTCACATTGCTCATGTAGTGTAACTCACAGTATTAGAAAATGTTATGCATGCAATCAGTGTTGTAAAACTCTGACTTATTCCAGTTCTTTTCAAAGAGATGAAAAAACTCATATGGAAATAGAAATTGATAAGTTTGATCTTTGTACTAAGGACTTTAGCCATCCCATGTATCTTCAAACACACAAAACAACCAATAATGAAGAAGAGCTCTATCAATGTAATCAGCATGACACAGCCTTTAGATATGATTCCTCTTTGGAAGTACACCAAAGAACTCTTTTGGAAGAAAAACCTTATGAATATAATCAGAGTGATAAGGTCTCTGCATGTCACAGTCTTCATCAAGTACATAGAACTCATTTTAATGTGAAAAAGTATGAATATCATCAATGTGATAAAGCCTTTGCAAGTCCCACTTATCTTCAAATATATAAAAAAATTTATAATGGAAAGAAACCCTATGAATGTACACAATGTGATAAAGCCTTTTCATGTTCCAGTTATCTTCAAATTCATAAAAGAATTCATACTGGAGAGAAACTCTATGAATGTAATCAATGTGGTAAAACCTTTATACAAAAGAGTCATCTTCACAGGCATGAAAGAAGTCATAGTGGAGAGAAACCCTATGAGTGTAATCAATGTGGTAAAGCCTTTGCACACAAGTACAAGCTTCTCATTCATGAAAGAATTCATACTGGAGAGAAACCCTATGAATGTAGTCTATGTGGTAAAGCCTTTGCAGAGAAGTGCAATCTTCTTAGTCATGAAAGAAGTCATACTGGAGAGAAACCCTATGGTTGTAATCAATGTGGTAAAGCCTTTGCACAGAAGAGTGATCTTCGCAGTCATGAAAGAATTCATACTGGAGAGAAACCCTATGAATGTAATCAATGTAATAAAGCCTTTGCACAGAAGAGTAATCTTCGAAGTCATGAAAGAGTTCATACTGGAGAGAAACCCTTTGAATGTAAGCAGTGTGGTAAAGCCTTTGCACAGAAGAGTAATCTTCTTAGTCATGAAAGAAGACATACTGAAGAGAAACCCTATCTATGTAATCAACCTGCTCAATCCTTTGCACTGGAGAAGAATTTTCTCATTCATACCAGTAATGCAGAAGAGAGACCTTATGAATGTAAGCAATGTGGTAAAACATTTGCAAGGAAGAGTCATCTTCTCAGTCATGAAAGAATTCATACTGGAGTGAAACCCTATGAATGTAATCAATGTGGTAAAACTTTTGCATGCAACAGTAATCTTCGCAGGCATGAAAGATGTCATACAGGAGAGAAACCTTATGAATGTAATCAGTGTGATAAAGCATTTGCCCGTAAAAGTCATCTTCAGAGTCATGAAAGATGTCATACTGTACCCTACACATATAATCAATTTGGTAGAGACTTTGCATGTAGCAGTCCCCTTCATATAAAAGAAAGAACTTATACTGGAGACGAACCCTATGAATGTAAGCAATACAGTAAAGACTTTGCACAAAACAGTCATTTTCACAATCTTGAAAGAAATCATATGGAACAAAAACCCAGTGAGTGTAATCAGTGTGGCAAAGTCTTTCCATGTTGCATTGTTCTTCAAAATCATGAAAAATTTCACACAGGTGAAAATCCCCATGAACCTAATAAATGAGGTCAAGCCTTACATTCCACATACATTTTTTTTCCACCATGCTAGCTCACTAGTACTTGAGTAAGGTTAGTAGAGCCACTCCTTAGTTAAAAAATTGTCTTTTCAATTAAACATACTGCATTCCAAGAATACAGAAACACATGATATTTTGAATAATAAAATGTATTTGCAATTGAAACTGCTATTTATACTGTCATCCATTATTTGGGAGTCATGTTACTTTATTCTGCGGATGAAATACTTACTCTTGTTATATTCTCAGCAACACAAAAGAATGGCAGAGAATTTTATCAGTTAATGTGATTGCTGCTAACCCTGATTACCTGATACTGAGTTTTAGGGTAGCTTTAGTTATATAGTGAGATATTTTCTCAAAAAAAAAATCCAAAAAAGGAATCTGGAAAGATGGTTCTGGAAAGATGATTGCATCTCCACAGGACCCAAGTTTAATTCTTAACACTCACATAGAAGCTCACAGCTCTCTGTTAGTCCAGTTCTTGGGGATCCAACAGCCTCACATAGAAATGCACTTAGTCAAAACACTTTTTCATGTAAAAGACAAATAATAATTTTCTAAAAGTATATGTTACTTTGTGATTTTTTTTCCGATAGTATAATGTGGACTCATTTCTGTTCAGCTAAGTCATTTGTGAGGGTCATTCACCTCAAGAGAATTATGTTAACAATTAAAATAAGCAATGTGTAGAGTCCATTTACAAAGGGATTGAAATCCACTCATTCTTTCCTTGAACAAGTAGCAGGGACTTTTGTTACCTGCAAATGATGTAAGGCAGAAGAAATAAAGAGGCAGGAATATCTTCATTTTCTGCATTATAATGACATCTTTGGACTGCTGCTGTTGGTCATACAATTTTGGTTCCTATCACCCATATCAGGTGAACCAGATGTGCCTGTAAATCCTGTTTTGGAGGTTCCTTGTGCACCAGGTATGTTAATGGAGTAAAGGCAGATATATACATATACATACACCTATATCTTTATGTATGTATACGTGTGTGATAGAGAAGAGAGGGACTCTATATTTCAAAAAATCTTTCTTTATGTAGATGTCATTTTTTTCCTTAAAATCACTTTTCTTCATGTGTATTGTTGGAACACTGACCTGGATTGAAGTCATGTAAAAACAAGAATTTTGAGTGCTTATGTTTGCACATGAAGAAAACAGAACAAAGTAATTGTTACTTAAGATTTTTCAAAACAGAATTGTGCTTGGAATGTGTTTTTGTGTTCCTCACAATATAGCAGTTAGGAGTGAGTTTACTTCATACTACTCATTATTGTTTGTTGCTTTTGTTCAATTAAACTATGCCTTATATGCCTTCATGGAAAAATATGTTTTTGTCCCATGTGGATTGTTTTTTCATTGTATACAGTTTCAACACACTAGAACTTTACTCACATAATCTTTCTTAACCCTCCCAGAATAAAATAGGCTCTTCCACGAGTCTTTAGTGTGCCTCATTTGTCAGCACAGTTCTCCCACTATCTTCTGTCTCTACAGTGGTGACATGTGACTCTTGAACAGGGACCAGAAATTGGCTAGATGATGAGAGAGTAAGGACTCTCAGAGAAAGAGGTGAGTAAGAGTAATGGTGCAGAAACCAGAAAGGCTTTGCCTTATTTTGAGCAAGTGCATCACTTTAAATGTAAGGATGAGCACAAGTATTAACAGCACAACTATTGTACATCATGCAAATTGGTTTTAACTCCTGATTTCCAGAAGATGTCAACTTAGGTGAAGAAGTATGGGAAAGTTCAGAAGGAAAATGAAGAGACATATAAAGAAGGGGGAAAGATCCCTGTTCAATTTTGGGTCACTTGGTCATTAACTTGGATTGTTGCCACAATAATTAAGGAGGATGTTAATCTTGAGGAAGTGATACCAAATTCTTGAAATGAATATAAACTTCATGACTAAACTTTAAAATTGATAAAAGAGACAAAAATGAATTTTTTCTGTTCAGGCAAAATCGAGAGCAAAGTGCCACTGACGTGGGTACTGGTGGCAGCTCCCTCAGCTCTCTTACTGGAGATACATATCCTTTGTTTTCTGAAAAAGATCCTGAAGCATTGGTTGAGTAATTTACTGATCAATCTAATCTTGAGTTTTCTTCATTTTAATGAGGACGTAGGAGAGTCTGTTGGAAAGCAAACCTTATTTACCGATTCCTGACCTCATAAACTATGATTGTTATTTCTAGTGTAATTTCAGCAAAATGAAAATGTTTAGGCTCTAATTATTCACTAAACACTCTGTTTAAAATTATAGAAGGATAGATAGTCTTTCTTCAGAGTTTTACATCAATGATATATTACCTTTCCATATCTACGTGTCATAACTTTGAAGGGATCTCAGTCACCTATGTCTTCCACAAAATATCACATTGGTGAACTATTTTGATGCTATTACTTTGATTGGACCATTTTGAGTAGGTGGTAACAACCACTTTGAACTCATTGGTAACAATATGACTAGGATGGTTTATAAATCAAAATTCAAGAGCCTTCCACCTAATTGAAATTCTTAGAAGTTGGGGGACCACCATGGGAGCAAACCCAAGCCAGGGACATCTTTGGGAACAGCCCCAAGCCAGGGACCTCCTCTACCAGAGCAGGCCTGAACCAGAGACCTCTGCTGGACCAGGCTAGAGGCAGTGACCTCCACAGGAGCAGGAACAGGTACGAGGGAGTGATAGCCAAGGAAGCAGGCCTGAACCAGAGACCTCTGTGGTACCTGTCCCAGGCCAGATACCTCTGTAGGAGTAGGCCTGAGCCAGGAACATCCCCAGGAAGAGGCTCACACCAGGGACCTCCACCAGAGAAGGCCTGAGTCAGCAACTTCTGCCGGAGCAGGCCCTTGACAGCAACCGCCACAAGAACAGGTACAAGGGATTGACTGCCAAGGGAGCAGGCCCAAGTCAGAGACCTTTGTGGGACCAGGCATGAGCCAGGGACCTCTGTGAAAGCAGGTCAGAGCCGGTGAACTCTACCAGAGCAGGACAAGCCAGTGACTTATGCCTGAGTAGGCTCAAGGCAGCAACCTCAGCAGTGGTAGCCCCAAGCAAGTGACCTCCATGAGAGCTGTCAAAATGACCTCCAGGATTGCAGAGTGACCCCTGGGAGCACCAAGCAGCCTCCAGGAACACTGTGTGACCTTCAGGATAACTGGAACAGTGACCCTGATTGCACCATGAGGAGAAACCATATGAGCCTTGGGTCCACTGGCACCTGAATGACTGATCACAAGAGACACAGTCCCAACCAAACCAATCAAGAAAAGATGGGTAGAGAGGGTAAGAACACACCCAACACCACAAAGAGCAACATAACATCAACAAAAACTAGTGGCTCTATGACAGCAAGACTTTGAACACCCAAATATAGACGAAGCAGAAGAAAATAGCCTAAAAAATAACTTAGGAAAATGTTTGAGGCACTTAAAGAAGAAATGAAAGATTCTTTCAAAGAAATTGAGAAAAAGACAAATTAAAAATTGGAAGAAATCAACAAATTCCTTAAAGAAAACCAAGTAAAAGCAATCAAACAGATGAAAGCAATGATTCAAGACTTGGAAACTGAAACAGAGACAACAAAGAAAACACAAACTGAGGGAACTATACAAATGGAAATAATGAGAAAATTATCTCAAGTGTTGAGGATACAATAGAGGAAATAGACTCATTGGTCAAAGAAAACAATAAATCTAACAAAAGCTTAACATTAAATATCCAGGAAATGTGGGACACCATGAAAAACCAAACCTAAGAATAATGGGTATAGATGAGGAGAAATCCAAATCAAAACCACAGAAAATATATTCAACAAAAGCATAGAAGAAAATGTTCCCAACCTAAAGAAAGATATGCCTATGAAGATACAAGAAGCTTGCAAAACACCAAATAGACTGGATAAAAATGTCTCCTAACCACATAATAACCAAAACAGTAAACATATAAAGAAAGAATGTTAAGAGTTGCAAAGGAAAAAGGCCAAGTAACATGAAGGCAAACCCATCAGAATAGTGCCTGACTTCTCAATGGAAGCAATGAAAGCCAAAAGGTCCTGCTCAAGTGTTAGGCAGATAATAAGAGGCCATGGATGCCAGCCCAGACTACTATACCCAACAAAACTTTGAATCACCATAGGCAGACAAAACAAGATGTTGCATGACAGAACCAGATATAACCAATATCTAGCCACAAACCCAGCCCTACACAAAGTACTAGAAGAAAACTCCACAAAACACAGACAATAGATGGTCTCACAGCAGCATATCCCAAATAAGGCAAAAACACACAATAACATCACCACCAACAAAATCTAACAGTAATAATAATAACAGGTATAACTAGAAATCACTGGTCATTAATATCCCTTAATAGAAATGGACTCAACTTACCTATAAAAAGACACAGGCTAACAGATTGGATACATAAACAGAATCCATTCTGCTGCATGCAAGAAATATACCTCAACCTTCAAAGACAGACATTGCCTCAGAGTAAAGAGTTGGAGAAAAAAATTTCCAACCAAATGAATCTAAGAAACAAGCTGGTGTTATCCTAATATCTAACAAAATAGACTTTAAACTAAGATCAATCAAAAGAAACAAAGAAGGACATTTCATATTACAGAAAAAAAAACATCAAGAGGAAATATCAATACTGAACATCTATACCCCAAATACAAATACCGTCATATGTAAAAGAAACACTACCAAAGTTTAAATTGTACATTAAACCCCACACAATAATAGTGAGATACTTTTAGCACCCCACTCTAAACACTGGACAGTTATGCCAGACAAACTTAACAGAGAAATAAGTGAACTAACAGATGTTATGACTCAAATGAACTTGATAGACATCTATAAAACGTTCCATCCAAACATCAAAGAATATACCTTCTTCTCAGCACCTCGTGAAACATACTAAAATGAGGACCACATACTAGGTAACAAACAAACCTTAACAGATACAAAACATTGGAATAACCACATGTATCATTAGACCACTGTGGTTTAAAGTTAGAATTCCGCAGCAACACTAATTCCAGAAAGCCCACAAACACATGGAAATTAAACAATGCTCATTTGAATCATCAGTGGGTCAAGGAAGAAATAAAGAAAGAAATTAAAGACTTCCTAAAAGTGGGGAAAAAATGATATCTTGAAATTTGCAGCCAAATGGATGTATCTAGAAGACATCATATTGAATGAGGTAACCCAGTCCCTGAAAGACAAACATAATATGCACTCACTCATAAGTGGCTTTTAGACATGCAGCAAAGAAAAACCAGCTTACAATTCACAATCCAAGAGAACCTAAACAACAAAGAGGACCTTATGTGAGACATACATGTATCCAATCTACATGGGAAGTAGAAAAATATAAGATCTGAGAAGATTGGGAGCATGGGGATGGTGGGAGAGGGTAGATGGGAATAGGAAAGAAAGTTAGAGGAGCAGAGAAAATTTTATAACTCAATAAAAACAATTTTTTTACAAGTCCAGTGGTTGTTGACATGCGAGATATTTCTCCTAATGTGATGGCCAAGTCATTACATCTGCCTCCTTCCACAATCTATCTGAAGCATAATGTTTATGTTTAGTGTGCCTGTTTAGATTCTGGAGACTGCACATTATTCTCTTGGGTATATTATTTTGGTTCATATATCAAGTGACATGGAAAGCTCCTAGCTTTTTGTGGGGCCTGGAACAAAAGGCGGCTCTACAACAGGTACAGGCTGGTGTGCAGGCTTCTATACTTGAACTTGACATACCAATGGTAGGTGAAGTTTCAATGGCAGATATGAAGTCTCTTAGGAGCCTTTGCTGGTACTCTGTAGTTGTATCAAACAAGAGATCTTTGGACATTAGAGCAAGGCTCTAAAATGATCTGCAGTTAAGTATTCTCCCTTTTAGAGTAAATTATTCGCATATTATTGAACCTTAGTGGAAAATGATCATTTGTTATTAGGTCACTGAGTTACATGTATTACTGACCTGCATTCCCATCACGACCTTGGTGTTATCTGGCCCATCATTTCACAAATGTGGACGTTGACAGTAGAAATCTATTATCAAATGGAAGTGTTATATTTGTGATTTGCCAAGTAATGTCCCGAAGGCACAAGCAAGTTACATTAGGGTTTCTATACTCAATACAATTCCCCTGCTGCCAAGTATTTACCTAGAGGGACATGAATGTGAATGAGTCTCAGAAGGGTTAATGCCAGACAGGGGACAAAATGTCTGGGTATTGCTGTGAGCACAGAGATGGTGGCTGGTCAGGATTGAGTTGGAAGCTGGTGATGGGAATAGATGCTAGGTGTGATTGGAGACTGGATTGAGTTGAAGTCTGGGGAAAGTTGGGGAAGCGTTTGGACAGGGCTGATTGGAGCATTCATCATAGTGATTTGTGCTAGTGCTGTCAATGGCAAGTT